TAGATAGATAGATAGATAGATAGATAGATAGATAGATAGATAGATAGATAGAGATACATTGATATAGATATGATATATTATATGTGATATAACATCATATGATATATGATATAATGTTCATCTATGTGAATATATACATATGCACACATTTATAATAGATACAAACACAAAATATACAAAAATAACAATAGGTAACAACACTTTAAAATTTACAAAGCACTTTACATATATCTTAAGGCATTTGATCTGCAAAATTGATACTGCTTTTTCAGGGAAGGGACTAACAACCAAACATTGTGACTTGAATTATAGAAGTTTGGTATTAGCCTGTAGCTAAAAGGAATAATGTTAGGGTAAGAATAGAGGTCCTTTTCTGACTCCCTCAAATCACAGTATATATAGGTGGCTGTGTAGGCCACCTAAATACAGAAGGCCAACATTGTGTAAGCTGGTTTTATTCTTCAGTGATCAGGAAAAGAAGCTATTGTCTACTCAAAAGCATCTGAGGTTTACTAGAACAAAACCTGCCTGGAAATATTAAGCTGGTTACTCAGCACTGACATGACTTAAGGTGGTCATTCTTTTTGGATTAAAGCTGTGGAACAATTGTGGGTCCTGTTACAAGGGGAATAACAAAGGGCTATTATAACAAGGGGACACAAATCTTGCTTCATTCCAGGGCCAGCCGTTTTGGAAAGCACTTTCTGCAGGCTCACACAAAAGCCTGATTGCTTCAGATGTTTACGTAAATTAAAATATTGCTGCCCAAGCAACAACGAGGGTGCTGATTGGCTTGTTTGGTGCAAAGAAGAGGTTGTTAAATCTCAGACAAATCCTAGCTTTTTTATTCTGTATTTTGGTTTGAGGGAGGATACTTTAAGGGAAAAATAAAGAAGTTTGTTAAGTATTGGAGAAAAATATAGTGATAGGCAGGACCATTTTCAACCTATGCTTCTGGGATTGCTAAGAAGATTCTAGGGTTTTAAAGAAGGAATCAAATAACCTACCAAGAGGAGTCATTCCTTTTACTTATCCCCAAAAGGTTGCAAATTAGGTGATCTTTACTGGAAAATCATGACAGAAGCTCCAAAGGCATCTAGTGTGACTGAGTACAATGGGGACACGTCACCCGAAAAAGATACCACTGAAATTAGTGATGAGGTTTTCACCCCTGATGACCTCAGCAAATGTCATGGTGCAGTTGTAAGTCTCGAAGGTTCTATCTCCAAAGAAAATCCAGAAGAAAGCAAATATTCTCGAGCAAGCATGATCTGCAGAGATTTGGCTTGGTCTCTGGAAGAGAAGAAGCATAGAGAAGGTAAAGTATCATTCAAATGATTTTGCTTATTTCAGTTTGAAAACTTGGGGGCACACACACCACCTTCTTTTACACTTTGTTAGAATAGTAAAGAATGTCATGTTTGTGAGAATTCAAGCAACTTTTATAGCCAGACAGATAATGGGACCAGGTGATTCATAATTTGACTCTTTTTCTATGTTAACTATGACAACATGCCTAAGGATGTCAGAGTGAATGTTTCTATAATAAGCAAGGACATTTGAAGTCAGATGAAAACTTAAATAAAATGAATTTATAGAGAAATTATTTGGAAAAGGAAAATGTGACCTTTAGTCATAATAACAGAGAGCCACCTTGCTAGTGCTTTTTGTTAACTTTAGTTCCATTTCAACTGTCATAACTCTTGCTTCCTTCTTGTCTCTTTCTTAAGAACAAACAGAGGAGGACAACTTTACTGTTCATAAGAGAATAGCAAGTTTCTCCCTCAAGGAAACAAGAGCTGATGAAATGACATCAGAGGAAGGTAATGAGAACTCACACGTTGTACACAATATTCTCTGACTGTATAAAGGGAACAGCTTTGCATGGGCTATTGGAGGGATATGTGGGTGTATGTGTGGGGGAGAAAAGCAATTTAGGAAATGCATCCAAACTCTTGAGACTGCTGGAGGCAGATAAGTCAGTCATGATTTATCAGTCAGTTCCACCTTAGAAAACATCCCAGGGAGTTCAAGACCCAGATTGCATGGATTAGCACAACCTGAACAAAATGTTCCGTACTGGAGGAGTATGATATTTGTCCATTCAACTGACATTTATTTTTCATTCATAATCTCAAAATCTGTATCATACTTCCGATGGAATGTAAATAGGTCTTTAATTTGGCTTGCTCTGCAAGTCTATAATTGACACGTAATTTGGAGTAACTGTGTACCCATAGAATTCTGTGGAAATTTCAGGGGTTCTTGAGGGTCAGCTCAAAATAGTCACATAAATCCTGTCAAATAAAAAATCTTAGAATGATCAGCTTCTCTGAGGGTGGGAAAATTAAAAGAAATATCACCATACTTCATATTTCAACAAACTCGATAGCCAGTTGGGCACTGAATCCTCTAGGAATCTCTCCTGTTTAAGCAGACATCTACATTCAAGGCATGCTTTCTTTTAAGTGCACAATAAAATCTATTAAGTAGTCTTTCACAGACCCTGACTCCCAGCCACCAGCATTTTATCTGAAAGTTGCAGGCAACTTTTAGTGCCTAGCCAATTTACCCTAATTAATACCTAGGACCCCACAGGCAAAACATTGAATAGGCCATTTTTTGAGAAATTAGAGCATCATTTAAAATAGAGATGTGCTAACAAAGACAAGGGTGTGATAACCATCTAAATGTAGCCTACCACATTTTCAGGGGTGAAGCAGCATAGTACGGGCTCTTTGAGATTCTGGGAGGAGTGACATGCACCTGCCATGAACCTGAGTGATGGCTGGAGATAGTGATTGCTCCTGGGAAGAGGGAAGAGCATGCACCACATTGTGGCTTAAGGAAGGAAGAGAGGTTTCAGGAAGCAGAAGCAACAGGAAGGCCCGCTCATCTCCTCAGAGTTAACCTGAAGGCCTTATATCCCCTCTAAGAGGGAAGATAGTTTGCCATGAAAGGGTCACTTGAGTAATTGATTATCAAGGCAACGTGTCCATAGCAAAACTCATTTCTAAAGACTTTGGACTTCTGTTGAATCCACTCTTCTAGCAGATTACTCCTCTTGTAGTTAACATTCTCTTCCTTGTCTTCATTCTCCCAAGGTTCCAAATATTCAGGCTACTTGGTTGGCAGGGAAGTCTCATTTGAGTAGTGTATCTCTTTCTGAAAAGCTTTGATTGGCCAACCCCATCGGAAGCATTATATTGCTATTTATTGACTTTAGCATCGGCCTAGTAAAATAAGAAAGCAATACTTGGATTCTTAAAGTAGGTGTGTTCTTGACATTTCTCAAAATACCTGTTTTCTTTTTTAGGGGAATATTTAGTGGTTTTAAATTCTAGAGGTATAGATTTTTTTTCTATCATCTTTCCTAGGGAGAAAAATCCATTAAAATAAACCTGCAAAGCGATTATTACCATGGAATTATAAATAAGAAAATGCTAAAAAAATATTCAGGAAGAATGTAATTTAAAGCCATGGAGAAACTTTCCTCATGAGGGAAAAAATCATGCTCTAGCCATTGTTATGGAAATGGTGACTTTTCCCCCAGGTATTTGGGGAGGGAGTGGGGAAATAAGATAATAAGGAATCACCCTAGAATGGAGATAATATCATAGATTTAGAGCTGATAGGGATCTCTGCTTTTATCTAGTCTAACCTCTTCTCCAGCTTTTTGACTGAATTGACCAAATCAATTGGTTGTTTTGGTATTATCTGGATACATCCCAATTATAACAGTGAAATCAGCCTAAAATGTGGCTTCCCTAGAAAATAGTATTGCTGTTTCAAGCTGAATTGGGCATTAGATGTGACTTCGGGCTAGCTGTTGTGGATAACTAAAATTATGGACTCTGTAATTTTACTCCATAGACCTTTGTACACCTGTTTCAGACTCTTGTACACAGTTATTTTGGATCAGACAGGAAGTAATGGGGTACAGGGGGAAGAGTGTCAGCTCTACAGATAGAGGATCCAAGTACAAATCCTGCCTCTAGTACCTTCTGACCTGTGTGATCTGGGACAAGTCACTTAACCTCTCTGGGTTTCAGTTTCCTCATTTAGAAAATGAAGGGAGGGGGTTGGACTAGATATCCACTAAGCTTCCTTCTAGCCACACCTTTATGATTTTATGATCAGTTATGAGAGGAAGAGCCAAAACTAGGGCTGGGTGAATAGGGCTTATCCATGGGGTGCTAAATTTAGAGGTTTTTGACAGTACTTTTAGCCCTTCAGCAGATAGAAAAAAACCCCAAAACAAATTAAAAAATAGCTTAGCATCTTGTTAGCAAGAATAATTAGTAAAAATAGGAAGCTACCAGCTGGCACGTTGGGGTTAGCTCCTTCCCTGCCTCCCTATAGCAGCCCATGGGGTTATTGAAATGTTTGTTTAATTCAGTTGAATGGGATCTTTGTCTCTCCTTCTTGGGACAGTGCTAGAATGACTTGTGGCTTTTGCTCAAAATATCCTAGTTATGGCTCTAGTGGGTGTCTCTTAGTGGAGAGTCTCTGGGAATAGAAGTGTGCAAAACCAATTTTTATCAGAGGTGAAACCTTCCCCTCCCCCCAAAAAATCCCTTCTTTTTTCCTGTGGCCATTGATGTTTCCAAAGTTTAAAAATCAGTATATTTCTCCTCCCCTTCCACCCCAACTAGACTTTTGAGGTACAACAGATAATAACAACTAGGTATTTTAGAATATAGCACATCTCATCTCCCAATTGATTTTGCTACAGGACTTCAGTGGGAGAAGATTCCTCCACATGGAAAATTCCAGGAAACAACAAGACAGAAGGAAAGTGGCATTGAGAATCTTCTAGAAGGAAGAGATGGTAGAATTAGGAAAAACGAGGAACTCCAGGTAGGAGAAACAGAAGCCAACTTGAAGTGGCTGGGATCTCAGCAACCCAGCAAAGATGGAAGGATGATGTCCAAACAGGATGAGGAAATAGAGGATGGTGAGCAGGAGATAGATAATGAGAATGGGAATGGTGATGATGAGGATGATGATGAAGAAGATGAAGTCCGATTAATAGAATTTAAGAAAGGAAATGGAGGAGCTTCTCACCTCAAGGTGGAAGGTAATGACGGTGACGACTCCCCTCTGAGCAGCCCCAGTTCACATCCTATGACACCAGAAGAGCTGCCAGCCTTGGGGAAGAAGAATGATATTTCCAGACATACTTATTCAAGATACAACACAATATCCTATCGGAAAATTAAAAAGGGGAACACAAAGCAGAGAATTGATGAATTTGAGTCCATGTTGCATTTATAATTTACTTCCTCAAGACATTTCATTGCCCATGCTACTTGAGTCATCTTTTTTTTCTCATGTATAGTTTCATAACATCTGGTGGAAGCTTAACCTCTCGTCTTTCATTTGAAAATTGGGTGCAACTAGCCATAGGAAGAAAACTCCAATTTGGTCATCTTAAATCAAGCAGCATTAGGTTTCTTCACTTACATAACAGGATTTATACAGTTTAAAACTTTACTAATGCATCATCCTGTACACCAAGTGCCACAGATGAATCTGGTAATGATCTGGCTGCATAATTGGGAAGGGTAGGAAGTGAAGTAACCAAAGGAACACGATGGCTCTGCAAGGCTATGTCCCTGTCTTGAAGTCTTTCCAACTAGAAATCTAAAGAGCTTGGGAAGCCCAGTACTAAACTTCAGAAATTTATAGCTGTTGGATAGTTCAAATGAAGCACATTGTTTCATAGAATCATTTAAGGAATCTTCAAGGTCTCCTTGTCCTTCCCTCGTATTGTCCTCCTGTGATGTGAAACTGTTATCTTGGACTTCTGAACAGTGAAAATTCTATATGCCCAGTCCCTTCGTGTTACCATTCATCGTGTCCCCTCGCTGGAGGGACTGAGCATCTGTCAGCCGGGAGAGTTCCATTTGGTAAATGTTGGTATTATGTTCACCATTGAATCCATCTCATTGTCAGGCTGATGTATTGGGACAGGATAGAAGAGAAGTGGGCAGCAGACCAAAGAGTTGCATTGAATGTTTTCACTTCTCTGGGGGTGTTTTTGTTTTGTTTATCTAGGAAATCTTTGCTAGCAGTTACATTTCTTTCAAAGATGAAAATATTAGCATGATTAAAAACAAATAAAGCCCATCTTTAGTATTGTGCCTTCACTCATTAACATGGCCTTCAAAAATGTTCTAAGTAACTCAACCCAATTTTACTATTTACTATGACAGTGGAAATAATTACCTTAGCATGTTTTCAATATGGTACCTGAGTGAATATTGTCAGTGACATTTTTCACTGATAGCTGAAGCTAATAACTAATAGAATATTTAACTTATTAGTCTTCAGTTGCTCTATTTGCCCTCCTCAAAGTTGTGTGAAGATCCAGGGTTTCAAACTGATCAGTAAGTCAGATAGTGTCTGTGTGTGTGTGTGTGTGTGTGTGTGTGTGTGTGTGTGTGTGTGTGAAAGCAGAGGACCCAAAGAATATCTCTATTAATTTGGGGCTATTTTGATCTTGGGTTCAGTTTTTTTTTTTTTTACTTGAGGCTTCAGTAAATATAATTCTGAATTTTTTGCTCCATGTAACAAGCATCTCTTTTGGGGCTGCTGCTTAAAAACAGTTCCTTATTGTTTAAATGTAATACAGCTCTCATTGTTCAACAATTCAACAATTTGTTTATCTCTTTTTCAGTTTGGGAAAATCCCACGGTTTGCTGCACATAGATTCTTGCTTATTTATATGCAATCAACCCCTGATTCACTTTGATTACATTTTTATTGAATTCTCGTCTTAAAACAAAGATTTATGTAACATTATATGTATTTTGAAAAGTGGATTCAGTGACTACACAGACTAAATTGGTAGTTTTGGTGACCACAATCCTCTGTTTATCCTTTTGAAGATGGCATATTCGACAAAGCATTCAAATGTCCTCTTACTTCAATAATAAATATTTCCAAAAGCCTTTATTAAGCCTCTGTCAGGGTTAGGCACTTTCCGAGGTGTCCCAAGATATAGGTCCTGATTTCAAGGAGATTATGATATAATAGGACTGGTGGTGAAGTTATAGGGTTACAAATTTAGAGCTATAAGGGACCTTAGAAGTTCTGATTTGTAGAATTATAGCTTCAAACACAGGCTGAGAGTTGGGAGTAATAAGGGAAGGCTCCATAGAGAAAGTAGCACCTGATTTGAACCTTCACAGAAATTAGAGTTCATGGGGTCCTTTAGGACTGACTCCTGGAAATAGAATAAATAGTTTTTTGCACCTGATTTTGGAATTTCGGGGGAAAAAATAACAGAACCAGACCTCCATTGACAAATCCAAGTGGAGACCTAATTAATTACATGGTAAGCGTAGGTTCTGAATTACTTAATTCAAATTCTGGGGAATAAATGATCCCCACAACTTACTGTTTCACTTTGCAGCATAATATAATACTATTCTTCACATAAAAGGACAATGTTGCTGACCTATCATCATTAGGACATGAATATGGCCTATTCCAGTAGTAGGGATTGATTTGTATGGAACCATCCTCATATCCACCTTTGTTACCAGTAGCACTTATTTGTGAAATGATGGAACTGAGTTTGTGGCCATGAAACAAAACAAAGCTCATATGGAAGTCTAACTCATCACCTTGGCCTCTTTAGCTCTGTGCTCTAACCACTGAAGATAACCAGTTACAGACAATTTTATCTATTGATATCCAAATGCAAAATGTGTATAACTGGTGAATTTTTAATACTTCTCCAGATTAATGTGGTCTTGTGGGTGCATAGGTCATGCTATTACAAATGCTCTTCTTCTATATCACTGCTCATCAAAATAGAGGAACTACTGCTATCTTTGATTAAGGCCATCACTTTTAGTGACAGTAGGTGATCAATAGGTAACTGATATGTGTTTGACTTTCTTTAGTCAGGAAACCATAATCTGGTAAGGAAGGTGTCTCACTTTGAAAACCTCGAATGAAGTGAAGAAAATCTCCCCCACTGGTCCTTTCTAGCACAAACTGCGGGAACTAGGGAGAAAAGCTCTTGGTTTCCATTGTAGAAGGAAAGCTGGCTCACCCTGGGCCTGCTGATATTTCTAATACGATTTAGAAACTGGAGCAAACATGAATTAACCACGAACAATGTTTTCTTTTCTGTCAATGTAAAATCTGCCTCATCAAATGCTATCATTGAAAAAAAAACAGAAAACACCACTATATTAACGGTTCAAATAAAAAAATGCTTTGTTTACTCTGTATTAGATAACGTGTACATGCTTCTGAATCTAGATCTTGGTCTCTTTGGCTATGTTTTTAAGGTCTTCTATAATGAATTAGCTTCTCAAACTCATCAATGAATGATAGCCAGAAAGTATTATGTTATTTCATTAAAAAATTCATATCATTTATTTTGAATAGGCTCTTTTATTTCTGTAGAATCATATAAAATTCTGAGGCTTAAAATATGTCTCGTTTATCAAATCATGGTTTACACACATGACAGAATTCTATTATATAGGAACAGTGAAAAATTATCTTAGAAATAAATTTTATTCCTGATTAAAAATACTTAACATCTTTCTACTCATTGAATTAATGGATTGAAACAACATTACAGTTTTAATACTATTCTCATATGTTCATTTGCAAATTATAATACCTTTGGAATATATTAAAATAGTTTAGTTTTTTAAATGATGGAAGAAAAAGCATTTTAAATGAGTAATAATAGAAGTGTTTTGGGAAAAGGATAAATTACTCAACTAGCATAAAAAAGAAATATACTTGGCCATATTATTAGAGTAACATATGGGCCCACTCACTGTTTTGGAAAAATCAGATAAAATTAGAAAAGTAACAAGACTAAATAGCAAAAGGGGTACCACTGTTCAAAGAGAGAAGAGTACTATAATAAAATAAATATGACAAAATGTATATAGATGACTGGGAGAGAGCAATGAATGACTAGTCTATATAACCAATGAAGACAATGAAGATAGCAGTGATAAATATCCAAAGCTAATGCCATAGTGATTTACATGGAAAAATATAAAATTAAACACCTAAATGTCTGCCTATTGATGGAGTAACTGGTTCACTGCAGAAAATGTCTAGAATATTTGAAAATCTCTCACGTTTGTGTATGCTGTGATTTATTTATAACTCAAGTCACTGGGAACAAGCAAAATTGTTGATTTTGGAAATCCATAGTTCAACTTTAAATTCCCCTTTAGCCAACAGGTTTAAACTGACTACTACCTCCCTAGCCCATTGAAATGTTTACTTATTAACTGAACAAATTTTGCTCATTTGTGTCTTGCCCTTTTCTTTCCACCTTTTTAGGGAAAATGAACTATAAAATACCCACTGAAATAAGAGCATAAAAGGGTATGCGTATGGAATGCACATTATATGGTTACACAGCTCTCTGTCTCTGATTCTATTCAAGGAAAGCAGCTTATCAACTTGAGCAGGGACAAGGAAAAAGGGGGAGTTGGTACCATCATCAACAGAGCAGAGTGGGGAGGTGGCTGCCTTTCCCTCCAACACCACAGAAGCTGGTGCAAAACCACCAGACAGCTTTGAATCCATTCATAATGGAATGAGACCAGGGAGATTTGTGCTGGCTGGAAACGGGTCAGAAGTTAGTGACCTAATAAAGGCAGGAATGTAGAACAGGAGTGAAGGTTGATGACCTACTGGTTTCACCTGATCTTTTGTTTTTGTCCCAAAGCTCATTAGAGTATCAGACAGGGAGCATCATGGTAGCTGAGGGAAGCCTTGTCATCATATCTTGTGTGGAGTTTTGCTGGTGTTCCTGAAAAAGGTTTTGGGGATATAGACTAGCAATCAGGAATGTATAGAAATGAAAAGGAATTTTCCAGTCCAAAATCCGACTGTTGGCTGGAGCCAAGGAACTTAAGCCTGGACCGCACAGCTATCTAATTTGGGATTAGAAAATTCCTTTTAACTTAAGGAGGAGTAACTTGACCTTGATCCCTCCTTCTGTATTACTATATATCAATTATTGACCAGAGAGAAGAGAGGAGTAGAGCTTATCAACAGCAACCACCCCTGCGCCCCCTTCACACACACACACTCCTACCATTACCACACATGCTTCTTTTTCTGCAGCCAGACATGATGGGGAAAAAGGGAATAAAGGACTTTTCCTCTATTTTCTCCCCAAATTCCTTCCCTCACTCATCTCCCATTGCACACATACACCCACCCACCATTCCACATCTGTTGTGTAGTAGATACTGAAAATGAGGTCAGTCAATAATTATTTATTAAGTGCCTACTATGTCCCAGGCACTGTGCTATTGCTGGACCAAAAAGAAAGGCAAAAGATAGTCCCTGCTTTCAAGAAGTTCACAGTCTAATGGGGAGACAACATGAAAACAACAGCATCCAAACAAGCTATATACAGGACAAAATGGAGGTAATTAATAAAGGGAAGGCACTGGAATTAAGGGGGATTAGAAAAGGCTGCTTGTAAAAGGCAGTATTTTCGCCGAGATTTGAAGGAAGGCAGGGAGGTGAGGAGGGAGAGAGTATTCTAGGCATGGGGAATAGTTAGTGAAAATGCCTAGAATCTGAGTCTGGAGAGAGAGTATAAGTTGAGCACCTCAGTTTATAAATGTGGATGTATGCATATATATGTATGTATGTGTGTATGTATATAGGTCTATGATCTTGGCCATGCTTTGGGAGTTATCCCTTAAGTGCAACTATATGTATGTATATGTATACACAAATACACACATATGTTTTATATATATATATATCTATATACATACATATCTACATATAAATATGTCTGTATATACATATATAAGATGTATATGTATATATGGATACATATTTGTGTATATATAAACATATACACATATATACATATATAATACACACACACACACACACACACACACACACACACACACATATATATATATATATACCATCATTCAGGGACCTGGAAGTGAAATAAGAATTGTTGAAAGAAATAGAGACTCTACCATCTGCTCCACCCTCACTTTAATCTCTTGCATGAGTGCCCTTGGAAATCATTCCAAAATGACCAATAAATGGCATCCTCCTCTGGGTCCCTGTTCATCTCTGAAGCATCATGTTTTTAGAAATCACATATGACTGGAATAACCAAAT